TATATATATATATATAAGTAAAACCACATTGAAACACTCACCAAATTGGCAGCGTTCTCCTTGAGATCCTTGGGATATGCGGGCGGTCCATTGGCAATCAAATGCGGCTCCTGTATGGGCTTCATGGGCGGTGGCAGCTCCAAGCCGGCCTCCTCCTCGGCCTCAAAGTCCGGTTGCTGTGCGCTTACATTGGGGAATTGCGATGGCAATTGGCCAACGCTTCCGCTGGCGCCGCTGCTCGTCTGCTCGGCAAGCTCCTCGGTGTGCTTCTGTGTTAGCTAGAAAGCAGAAAGCGTTTTATATTATATGTATATTGAAGCATTTATTATATTAATCTATATGGTATTTTAAACATATATATAGATAAATATTATTGTGTGTTATAAATAATACTCACTCTCAGATTCTTCTCCGAGGGCTTCTTCAAGAGCGCCTTCTCATTGGGTGATTTCTCCACTTTGCTCTGCGAGAGCTTACGCAGCGGCTGCGGTATCCATTTGCGCCTGCAAGGGATAACGAGAAAAGCGAAAGAAAATCCATGATTATTTATTACACTTGGATCTAGCGAATCGAAGGGATCAGTTTTACAGGAACATGCGTATCGCGGTGGCATTGTGCACGAGCTCATCCATTGTGCCACTTTGCTGTTTGTGGGTGTATGTGCGTATGCGTGTGTGTGTGTGTGCGCGCGCGTTGGGGAGAACGCGTCGTATACGCAATTAAAAGTAAAACACCCGACCCCTTGGCAAATTGGCTGTCCAGCTGCGTAGCCGACATGAGACTGTCGCCAATAGCACAGCAGCATATCTCTTTGTCGCCGCCGACGCCGACGCCAACGCCATTCGCACAGTGTGGCCAAGTTCATGGCACACGGCCAGCGGGAGTGAGCGAGAGAGAGAGAGAGCGTGCACTCATTGCCACTCAATTTATTGCGTTCCCCCTGAATATTTTGCTGTATATACACTTCATGCCTTCTGAATATCTCGTTGGTCACATTTAAAAAATGCTTTGTTTTATGATTGCAGCTTCTGCTTCTTCGTTCTTTAAAGCTCTTATCATAAAATTTTCGTTTCTTTTGATAACGATTTTCATTCACTTTTTATGCGTGAAGTTAGCATCTTTTTTTTATGTGCTCAAGAACCAATTTTGTTTAATTTTCAATTATTAACTTTATGTGGGTCAGTTATCAAACCTTCTTTAATGACGCGGGCAACTGTCAGATGCTATTAAAAACCGGTAGTATTTTTCAATGTTTGGCATTTTAAGGACTTTGAGTGAGGAGAGAAGACTGTTTGGGATTATTTATGGTATATAGCTTGATTAAATAGTCAGTAATAAGGATATTACTGAGTTTCTACTCTCTCTCGTTCTGGTATATTAAAAGTTTCTCAAAAATATTTATATTATTGTGAAACAATTTTTTCTAAGCTCTTACTTTATTTATTGTTTTCTATCTTCTATTTTTCTGCAGATTCCACTACCTAATGTCAGCATTCATTTCTGCCTTCTGTAAACCTTTTACCTCATTTCCTATAGATATTTTCCTTGAATTTTTATCTCTTTCTACTGTCATTTTCTATTAAGGGTCTCTCTCTCTCTACTATTTTTTCGTTAGCTCTCAGCTTTAAGTTTTCTGCCTCATTTTTAATCAATATTTCTTCTCTTCGTCTATTTAAAGACTTTTCACTTTTCGTCTTCGTCTGTATATGAAAAATCCTTTTCACTTGCTCGCTCAAACTCTTTCTCTCTTCATTTCTCAATGTCCCTCTATTTGAACTACTAAAGCTATTCTCATGGTCCATCGCCTATTCATGCATTTGACCAGCCTGTCAAGTTCATAAATTTCATTTACTTTACACAAAATCCCATTTTGTTTATGACTCAAATTGTGGTCTTTAGGGCCAGAAAATAAATTTATGTATTTCTATACATGTATAAATATAAATATAGGTTTATAATTAGCTTCAACCGCATTAGGGACATTTCATGTAATGCAATGTGGGCATGGTTGTGGTTAAAACACAAAGCGAGCGTACATTTTGCGGTAAAAGATTATTAAACAAGAGAAAAACAAAAATAATAAAGCATTACAAGCTCTATGCGCATTAGCCCCAAAGTTCAAGAGTCATTAACCTGACTAACGTTTGCGTGACCTGTTCCTTAGCCTAACTGAGCTGTTGAAAAATTTATGAACAATGTAAGTAAGTGACATATCTATAAATGAACTAGAAAAAATTATAGACAGAGGACATTTTCCTATCTCTGTGAACAGGTCTTCCTCTTTGCTTACTATAATAACTGTCATTGTTAGTTAAAGCAGGATGTTTTGCTTTCAAGCACGTTGCATACTACGCGGCGCTTGCAGCCCACATCAGCTGGAACAGCGAAGATAGGCGGGGGAGGGGGTCTATATGGCATGGCTAGCGACGCCTTTCAAGCAGCGTAACATAATTCAAAGTAAAAATAAACATTGACACCGATAACAGGGCAAGGGCGAAAGAGAGCGTATACGATAGAGCGACAGAGAGAGAGAGAGAGAGAGAGTGAGAGAATGAGGCAGGCAGCTAGGTTCCTGGAAATAGTATTTAATTTATTACGTGCTCGTTCACGTTCAAAATTCATTTCGCTGATGTAATGTTTTAGGCAAATAAGCAACGTTTAATACACATGCACACACATGTATGCATATACATGTGGGCGTGTGTGTGAGGCGGAACCTGCGTATTAATGAGTTCGCCCTAAAGTATGCAACAGCGCCCAAACTGTATAGAGGAGCTGTACATATATGTGTGTGTATGTATGTGAGTGTGTGTTTGAGTATGTGCCTATCTGTGTGTTTGTATGTTTGCACACTGGCAAATGTGTCCATTTAGCTCATTGGAGCTGGCTGGCACACGCTGTCCACGCCATCGCCCCTCGGCCAGCCCCGCGCTTCCGGTCTGCACTCCCACTGCACAAATAAACGCGCTTATTGACAGAGCGCTTGAGACAAAGGCTAGCTAGAAGGTAAGCAGGTCCTTCCACAGGCCAGCCACGCTCGGCCTGACAATAATCTATATTCATGTTCGGAGCTTGACTCAATAACAACAGCAACAGCCCAAGCAGCAGCAACAACAATAAAAGAAATTGTTCGCTGGGCCGAGGCGAAATGCCCAATTAGTGTGCAAATATTGTGAAAGTATTTTGTAATTTATGTCCAACTAACTARCTGAAACTGAACAATTTGGCTAGCCATATAAGGTAGCAGATGTGGGACAGGCTTAAAAGGCCGCATAAACAAATGCATAAATTATTTAGGCTAAATGTATTGCATTAAGAGCAAATAAGTTAGAATAATATAACAATATTTATTATATCATATTATGGAGGCTTTGATATAAGACCAACTAATGGGGAAATGCTGAACAAGCATTTATACCTTATACATTGATAGATGTATCATGCTAATAAAACTCAACTTTTCTCTGAAGCAAGAATCAGAGATTATTGTGAAGTTTTCTTTTAATAACTGGCAGAACAAGAGTTCTTAAGCAAATGGCTTGATTTGAACGTATTATTTAAATGGAAACTATATGAAATAGCCAACAGAATCAAGGGATTCTAAGAATTCATCTTTATATAGCTAAAAAAAAGCAGCTACACCAACTTAGTGTAGCTTACAAGGAAGTCGAGTTCACATGGAACATATAAACTAAAAGAAACTCTAGCTGATGAATTACGAAAAAAAAAATTGAAATAAAATAGCAATGAAATAAATTTTCATCATAATATATATGAAATTGATTGAGTCAAAATGCGACAATCTTATAATTGCTGGTCAAAAATATGGAAAGCTTATTGCGATCGTGATAAGATTGTCATGAAATATTCTTATCTAGCAATTGAATTTCAAACGAAAAGTTAATTACAAACAAGGCACTTCAAAGCCTGCAAATTCGTAATTACATGTGGCTGATTAGTTGTGTGGCGGGAGCGTAAGAAAAATAAATAATTTGACCGCAGTGCGTATGATTAATGCACAAACTCTATATGCATTATACCATATATATGTACATATATATATCTGTACGTATTTATATAGAACATATATAATGTTCTCAATTGTCGCTTATCAGCAATGACGACTCCACTGTTCCAGCTGCAACACATGCTGACTAATCCACATTGCTTACAGGGAGTTCCCACCCCCTTTCTTCACAAAAGAAGAGAATCCATATATATATATATACATGATTGAAGAGCTTATGAGAATCTAAAGGCAATTGCAATCGGACAACATGCGAAAAACAGGTTTCGCTTGGAGCAATTAATGCAAACATCTGTGTGAAATATTAAGCCGGTTTACAACCCGGCTAGAAATTGTTCCTCTATTAACTCGGGCAGCGACAGATAGTTAGGGGTTTTTCACAACAGCGGGTAGCACGCGATAGTAGCTGGAAGTTCCCATCGGCTCAATTTTAATAAATCATCTCTTTGTATATTTTCAATTTTTAACTTGTAATTACTCTGAAATATTCCGAATATTTCCGTCTCATTAAATTTGAGAGTGTGCCATATATTGCTATACCTATTTATAAACCTGTTGCAGTTAATAAAATTGTAATGCAGTTTCTCTTAAGTCTCATGTAAGTTGGTTTAAAGCAGGATTCTAGTAACTCAAATATTTCTCAAGCTATAGAGTAGAGAGCTTCAGAGCCCTAGTAATTTTTTAAAAGATTTTAGAGCAATTTTCTTAAATGAAATGTAAGCCATCTTTTGCTCTATAAATTTAATTTTGCTACAAATATTTGAAAAACTTGGTAAATTTCGGGAATGAAACTATATCACCCAGCTTTTCCAGCTCTTTTTTTTGCTTTTTTTGGTATCTTCAATTTAGGTTAAAAACTTTCATTTTCTCTTTTTTAATGCACTTTAGGGCTAGGTAAATTCTCTTTGTATTTTCCTGTATTTATTTATAGAGCAAAACGTGCTTGGCTCAATTGAGACAACATATATATTTATATATATATATACATTGTATCCATAAACAGTATATAAACAGATATCAAC